GCCGGGGCACATCACGCTGCCCTCCAACCCAAGATTGAGGGTGACTGCACGTTGTACCAGCACAGCAGGACCCGCACAGTTCATATGCTTCCCAAAGGGTCATCTGAGTGGAAATTCGTATGTGGTCGCTCGGTTACCGCTGACCACAAGGTTTTCATGTCAATGGTTTGCACCTCGGGCATGAGGTGCAAGCAGTGCCTTAACGGACGTCCCATCCGTGACATAGGGGCACTAAATGAAGCTCTTCGTACTGCTTTAAAGCGGCCGCGTACCGTGGCCTCGTGAAGGCTGTGGCTGCACCCCCCCTTTTCGGGGTGAAGAGCGTATGTGTACTTCGGTGCTTCCCGCACTTGGCGAGCTTGTGCATCGGTGCTTGCCGCACTGACCTGCCCCCATAAGGATGTTGTCGCAACTGTCGTATGGCTTCATTCCTTGGCCGCTTGAGTCCCTGGGGCACCATCTGAGATGCAGCCACGTTTTCCCGCCTGACGCGGGGTGGCATAGAGGGGAAGACAAACAAAGCACAAGCATCGCCTGGTTTTGAGTCAATTTTCCTGCCATCCAGAAGATTCCAACGTCGCCTGCCTGCGACCAAAAGGTATCAAGACCGAGGCAACCTTCCAGGGCGTGCAAACTGTCTGTGTGCGCCTTAGCCTGCCTTTGCAAGGTATCTTGTTTGCCCTCCGCAACATTTAGTGCTCGCAGGTATGGCAAGCCTTCTTAAGTCCCAGGCCGCTTTCAAAGAGCGAGCATTGGAATGTGGACTGACCGAGGCAGAGCATGATGCCCTAGTGGCCCGTGGCGTCACTACGCTCTCAGGTGCTGCTTATGCTGTTTCCACACCGGGTGTCACACCCACTGAGGCGGCCCTCAGAGGGCTTCTTGATCCAGTTGCTCCTGAGGGTGTTAGTGTGGGGTCTCTTGCTGCCATTCGTCGTCTTGTCTTTGAGAGTCAGACCCTCGCAATCGCCGAAGTGAAGCTTGCCATAGAAGGTACAGATGGTGAGAAGCGCTCCGAGCTCGCTCCAGCCGAGCGTACTAGTCGGATTGCAGCACAAAAGGCCCGTCTGTGTGGTTACGACCTCACAGGCACAATGGAGGTCGCGCACTCGTGTTACACTTATGTGGGGACAATGATTGATGCTGACTCGCCCTTTTATTTGGAGCCACATAAATTCATAACACGTGCGCAAGAGATCTCTCACGAGCGACCGGGCAAAGAAATTGTGCTTGATGCCTCCAAGCTCACTGTTCGTGATAAGTCTTCGTTTCATCGCATGCAGATACAGAATGAGTTGCAGCTTTCCCAAGCCTTCACTAGGCGCAGCCTCGCATGCGACCTGATGGGTGTGATCACTTTTAGGGTGCAAGAGAATTGGCACAAATTTTTGATGGACAGGCTTGCCGAATCTCCTCCACCCAACTTCAGGAGGATCTCGATGGAGCAAGTACTCAGAGCCGACCGTCAGGCATGGCAAAAGCTTGCTGAGATCGTCCCTTCCATCAAGAGGACCTCTGCCGGGGCCCTGCCGCTCGACTCTGCCTTTCCTACCTTGCCAACCGAGGGTTCGATATCTTTTTATCTGTTGCCAACCAGGCTGCAGGAACTCGACGACAAGCCCCCTCGTAAGCCTTGGAAAGGGAACGGCAAGGGTAAAGATCAGAAGGGCGACCGGGGCACTAAGCGTGATTCCGAGGGCAAGGAGAAGACGCCTCCTGAGCTCCCCGATGCTCTCAAGGACATGCCCTTGCGCA